CGCTGTGCTACTCCATGGCGGGGGTCAGACACAGGATAGAGGCAGCCAGCGCTCTCCTCCAGGAGCAACGGGTCCCCCGTGGTGGGCAGGGCTCTCTGCCTGCCCCGTGGGTGCCCATTCACCCCTCTCATAAGCCAGTGTGCAGGGCCGGGATTACTGTTTCCTGCGTGCTCAGGAGGCCAACCTTGGAGGCCTGAGTTGGGAGAGGAGCTAGAGACCCCCTGTCCGCCCCTCCCACCCCTCCTCCCCCAGGTCTATGGAGGACTCTGGGCAGCCTGCTGGCTGCGCCCCAGCGCTGACTGAATCATTTCTATATTTGGCCAGCGGGCCACGTGGGTGGGGGGACCACTGCGGCTGCACTCCTGACAGCTGGGGGGAGGACCAGGGTCTGCAGGACCGGAACTAAGGAAGGCACCCTGCTGGGGTGGAGTGGAGGGAGTAAGCCGGTCATGCGCGACACCTCCCTCCCCCCACTTGCGGGGGCAGGGCCCGCCTCCCTGCCCACCCTCCCCGCTGTCACCATCACCGTCGCAGGCTGCTCCTCACGGCGGCCGGTCGTTTCTCCCACAGACCGCGTCAGGCTTCCAGAGACTCACTGCCTTCCAGAGACGATGGGTGTCGCTAGACCGGGCTGGAACCCTGCCAGCCCCCAGCGCGCAGTTTAAGAGAAGGGCACTCTTTCAGCCTGACATCCCTGCCTGTCATGGCCACGCTTGGCTGCTACCCACTTGCCTGGGGACACAGGACCCCCCGCCCCCGCCCTGAGGGGCTCAGCCCGGCCTTTTGGCTGCATTCCACGAGGGCCTTCGGGGCACCAGGCCCCTTGCCGAGCAAGAGCAACTGATGCCGTGGGAGAAGCTCCTGCCACCTGTCTACCCACCTGGCGCTGTCCGCTCTGAGACCTGCGCACTGGGTCCCACTGCAGGCGCCACGCCTGTGACCCTCTCCCCTGCACTCCGACACCGAGAAGGCCCTGCCCACCCCCAACTATGTGTGAGGTGATGCCCACGATCAACGAGGGGGACCCTCTGGGCCCCCCCCACGGCGCCGATGCCGACGCCAACTTTGAGCAGCTGATGGTGAACATGCTGGATGAGCGGGAGAAGTTGCTGGAGTCCCTCCGGGAGAGTCAGGAGAGCTTGGCGGCCACGCAGAGCCGGCTCCAGGACGCCCTGCACGAGCGCGACCAGCTGCAGCGCCATCTGAGCTCCGCCCTCCCCCAGGTAAGGCGGGACCGCGCAGACCCCTCCCCCGGCCCTGGCGGCACCCCGCTGCGGCTGCGTCCCTTTGCACGTAAACGCGCGGCGTTCGCGGACCTTGCACTCGCCTTCACCGCCCAGCACTAACCCTGCCCGCCACCCAGCCTGGGTCTGTTTCACCTGGAGAGATGGATGGCCTGGGATGCGGGCCGAGTGGCCAACTGCAGTCAGCTCTGATGACCAGCAGGTGGCACTCTAGACTGGGAAAAAAGGCTCAGGCCCGGTCCTCCTGCCCTTTGAGGAGCCGTGGGGGTGGGGGTGGTGGGAAGAGGAAGAGTCTTTCGGGAAGGGACCCGGGTGGCGCCGTGGTTAAAGTGCTTGGCTGCCAGTTGGAAAGTCAGCGCTTTGAATGCACCGGCAGTCTGCCACTGTAAAGGTTTCAGCTTTGGAAACCCTGTGGTGGCGCTCTACTATGCCCTGTAGGGTCCACCTGACGGCAGGGGGCTGGATTTTTAACCCTTATGGAAGCAGACCTTATGGTTGGCACCCAGGCTCCTTAGCCATCATATAGCCACTGCGCAGAGCCAGTGGACCGATTCTGACACATAGCAGCCTCACACAGGCTTTCAGAGGCCTCAATCTTTACGGGAACCCACAGCCTCATCTTTCTCCCTCGGAGCGGCTGGTGGGTTTGAAGCACTGTCCTGGTGGAAGGTACTTGACATCGCCAGGAGGGCCCGCACTTATTTCCTGCGTGGCAGGCAGGCAGGCAGGCACTGAGCACTCTGCCTGGCTGGCCTCACTAAGTCCACCCAAACCTTGGTGGATCTGTGATGGTCACCACCGTCCGCCCTGTAAGGTGAAGTCCATGGCCGGCGCCCAGCCAGTCAGCAGTTGGGAGGGGAGGAATGCAACCCTGGGGTGGTGGTGGGGCTCCCTGAGGTCTCCTGCTTCTCTCTCCTTTGGTTGACACCCCAGGGCACCACGAAGGGTGCTCTGAGGGTGTAAACACCAAAAGAAACAGGCCCAGGGCAATCAAGGCGAGGCTGACTCGGCTCTCCTCTAGGGCAGGGGCGAGCTGGCCCAGGAGGGTCTGAGACTGCGCCTGTTGAGGGGAGGAGAAAGGCTTCTTCAGCGGAGCGGCTGCTGCTTTGAAACTGCCAGCCCACCTCCTGACCACTGCGCCGCCAGGGCTCCTGAGAGGGGGCACAGGGGAGCAGAGACCTGGGCGACCAGCTGCTTGTCAAAGAAAGTGTCCTCAGCCTGCTAGCCAGGCCCAGGGAGAAGAAGGGACTGTCTGTCTGTCTGTGACCATGGCATGCATGCGACTGCACGAACAGCCCTGGCCTTTCTCCGCCTGCTGACCACGCATTGCTGGACTGGGCTGCTGGTGCCAGGGAGGCAGCCCCATGGGTCACAAGGCTCCAGACGGGTGGAGAGGAGAGCCAGGGTGAGGTCTGGCTTCAGGAACGGAGTCTTTCTTGCTGTGCTGCGAGGATGAGAGTGGGTGCTGGTGAGGAATTGACGAGTCGGAGGCTCGAAACAAGGCAAGAGTGAAGGAGCAGGAGCCCGTAGAGGCTGGAGCACAAACGACTAGAGGAGAAGCCGAGAAAGGTTGCGACCCAGTGTCAGTGATAAAAATAGCTGCCTTTGACCGACTTGTGCTAAGTGCTCCAGTGCAGTGGCTGGCTGACTCCTTACAGGGGTACTGGAGGTGGGGCTGTGCCTCTGGTTTATAGATTAGAGACCTGAGGTTCCAAGATGCTAAGTTCCATTCCCAAGGTCACACAGTTAAGAGAAAGCAGCGCTGAAATCGGATGCCAGACCTGCCCACACTGGAAACTTCCGGAGGCCAGGGGCCATGACTCTTGGCTACTGTATCCCAGTGCTTAGCTAGCACAGCACCTGCCACCTGGTAGGCGTGCTCACACCTATGTTCCTGGGGGTGCACCGTGGGCCCATTCTAGGGCTCTCAGCTACTGTGTGAGGCAGTTTTGCAAGGAGGGAGAGAGTCCCACAGCTAGGGAATCTGGGAAGGTGGCAGTGGAGGAGGAGTGGTCTCCGAAGGTTCACTGGTGCTGGGAAGTGACTGGATTGACTGGGTCCCAGAGCAGCCCTGGGAGGGGCTTGGAAAGAAGGGTGTGATCCCTTGAAAGCCAGGGGAAAAGTCTGCCCTTACCTTTGAGAACACCGTTGGCCTTTGAGAGATGACTCTGGCAGCACAGTGTCAGATGGGTTAGAGGTGGAGCCCCGGTGGCGGTGGTGTGTGGTTACACCTCACGATCAGCAGTTCAAAGCCACCAGCCGCTCCTCTGGAAAGAGGAAACTTCCTACGCCCATGAAGAGTGACTGTCTTGGAAACCCACGGGGGCAGCCCTCCCCTGCCCTCGGGTGTAGCTAGGAGTCAGCAGGGACTTGGTGGCAGGGAGTTTGAGTGGGGAGGCACCCTGCAGTGGGGAGTCCCGGTCGGGGAGAACTTGAGGGCAGGGAAGGAGACAGCCCCAGTCCTTTGATGGTGGTGGCATGGAATGGAACTGGGGGTAGCCTTCAGTCTTGCCTCTGGGTTTAAGTGTGGGTGTGGGGCTGCTCGTGCAGAGGTGCGTGGGTGTGCATGCATGCATGCATATGTGTGCGTATATGTGTGTGCCTAGGCGTCCAGGCATATGAAGCTTGTTGGCCGTGGTGTGGGCAGCAAGGTGGTGATCAGTGAACAGGTCAAAGGTCAGCTACTTTCAGGCTTTGGGTCCCCCACCCTTTCCACAGCCCTCTTAGCCCCCTTAACTGATCCTAAGTGATAGGAGGTGTTTGTTGTGGGACTCCCAAGTCTGTGCGTGGTATGAGAGGCAAGTGCCAGGCCAGCACGCGGCTGCGGCTTCTGTTCAGTCGCTCAGACCTTGGCTGCCCACAGAGTCTGGGCCACTCATCTGGAGTGAGGAGCAGTCTAATTAGATGAGTGGGGGTATGATGGGCCTGGGTCTGTGAGTTTCAGTCAGCTGCCCCCCACTCCCCAC